ATCCAAATAATCGAAGGCGGGGTCATACGCTGGCAGATTCATGTTGCCATTGCTTATCTCTAGGAGCAATTCAAATGCGCAGCAGGTAATTTTTTAAAGGATTAGTTGTCTAGATCAGAAAAAAGCAGCTAAATCCGTGGATCACCACGAAGTACACAATTCCTACACGTTTCTGGTATCATCCCCTGTAAAGCCCAAGCGTCTCCTCCCGAAAACGATCAAGTACCATCCTTGCAGCTTTGATTGCGACCATTTTACAAAATAATCCCTGATCACTACATTGTATTGTGCACAAAGATTCCTCCTACTCTGTGGCAGGCGGAGCACCTTCACCGGTCGGCCGGCAGTTCCCGTGCCTCTAACTCAGGACGTTGCGCCTTCGGAGTAGATTGCGATGAAAGGCCTGAGGGTCACATTTGGATCCGATTTGGATATAAGGCAACAACTGACGGAATGGTATAATATACCCTAGAACGGAATTTCCATTGCTTGTATGAAACGTTTGCAGAGCCTTTTGGGGAGGTTCCTCATCGCTGTACTGGGCCGATTTGTTTGTGCACAATCAATGTGAAATGCTTCGTTCAGATTTCCTCTCAGCAATGCAGCGTACCAAAGGTTTCAGAAATTTGTCACAGGTCCTGCATATCGAAAGAAGCCCGCAATCTATTCCCGTTCCCTACGCCCTAAACCATAAATCCACCTTGTCGCAAGACCCATATACCTTGCAAATTGCCGTCAACGTGTCTAAAACTGCAGCCATAGGGAAAGGCCACATGCGACCCGTAGATATTGCCTCATTATCCGCGAAACCCATATGGTCCAAGGGGCTAGATTGGACCTCAATCTTTAAACCCTGAACCTATATCACCCAAACCTGCAACTACCTCAAAAGGACCTACCCTACATTTGCCCCGCAGAAGGGCTTGAGGGCAATCCATATGGGCATCGTCCGAAAACCCCATGTGGAAGGTTTTATGTAAAACGACAACGGCTGGCTTATGAAGGCCTTGCGCGAAAGTTCGCGATGGTGCACGCGAAAGGAACTTTGGATTTCGGGAAAGAGGTATCGTAAGCTATAGTTCCTCACCTACTTTCAAACCTAATTGTTTCCCTTCTTGCAGTCTGCAGGCAAGCTCCCAGGCAAGCTCAAAGGTGAAAGGATTGGAAGCCTTTCTGAGGCACAGGATCTATCTCATCCCCGAAAGACCCGCGAAAGACCCGCGAAAGATCGCGTAAGCCAAGCAAGCCCCCAGCATTGCAAGCCATGGGAGACGACATGGCGTCTGCGATTCGGTTTTGGAGTTAAGGGCTTGGGTAGCGCTTTGTGGTCTTGCAGATCCGCTTTTGGAGTTGAGAGCATGGGCCAAGGGTTCTTTTTGAGAGTTCAGAGTTTGGTTTTTGCTTCAAACATGCTGCTGCGAAAGTTCGCGATGGTGTGCGTGGAAGGAACTTTTTGGATTTCCGCCAAAAGGTCATTTTGTCAAGTTGGACAACGCCCATATGAGCTATGGTCTAACCTTTTAGTATCCCCCTTAATCAATAAACCGTATAAATACTCCCTTATATAACCCCCCTCAAAAAGTAATGGAGTTTAGACTTTAGCTTATGTTGCAGGATCCAGTGGCAGACTGGCTTGGTTTGGGCGAGGGCTCCACGGACACCAGTCGATTGCTCCAGTTGCAGGTGAACACCAATCAGCAACCCAGCATTTCAGGCTTTAGGGTTTAGGTATTATATTGGGGGTAATATAGGAGTTATGTAGGGATAATGGAAAACTGGAAACGAGTATTGAGGGTTGAAAGGTACTGCTTCTGATAGTTTTTGGAAAGCTGACTGAAGTAAGAATGCGTGCAAGAAAAGCAATAGTGACATCACAAGAACAACAAGAAGGGTCATAAGAGCAATGTCAATACGGATAATTTAACCAATCATACCATATTTGCATGACCAGTAATATGGACATGTGTGCTCATACAGCCCTCATAAGTTTAGCAGTGTTCAGTGGGAGCAACCCGGCAGCACAGATTTGAACCGGGAACGTTCAAACACGATGACACAGTCATACCATTAAAAGCTCAAGAAAACATACAGCATAGTAGTGGTGTAACAGTATAATAGTATCACATTACCACTCCAGATTTCCAAGCCGTCCCCTTCCTTAACTTGGAGCACCCTCATGATCAATCCCGTGGCCCTCAACCGCCATTCAGGTATGGGCGTACCTTCGAGGATCGAACGCACACCTTCCTGGCCGCTTGGTTTTTCACCATGATTTGCCACAACACGCTCTCCAAAACCAGACGCAATCCATTCCAATCTTTTAGTTCGGTTAGGATCAGGAGGGCTTAGGCTTGGAAATTATGTACATGGGTTATATAGGGGTTATAGGGTATATATTGAGGATAATGGACATTACTATATTATATTGTGTTCTGGTATATTATGTCGTGGCATGATCACGAAGTTTTGCAGGCCGTGAGCCTAGAACAAACAAGGCACAAACGCGATGGACATTTTTACAGTTACACATGTCTTTTACATCCCACAGTTTCTACCAGAAACAACCGTCAGAGCTCCCTCATGGCCTTGGCTTCGCAAACCTTCACGTGAATGCCAAGGTTATTTTTTGGTTTTAGACGTCAATAGGGGATAATACCATGTAGGGCTTATATAGGGATCATATTCCCATATTATCTACTAACAACCAGTAAGGTCATGGAACGGCCCGCAGATGTTCCGGCCGATCGACGCATTGTGAACTACAACGTCCGTGGCCGACGCGGCAACATTGTTCAAGTGTACCCATCAGTGGAATACGACTTCGTGCCGCAGGATACCTTGGCACCCAAGACTACACACTTCCTCAATGCGTCCTTTCGTACTTAGCACAACCAGTTTCACTGAACATGCAGCTTAAGACATGTTCTTGAATCGTGCACTTTTTGGAGGCTTCAAAGCAACATCGCTCCGTGCCTCAAGAGTATTGCAGCCTTGCGTAGTGGCGTAGTGCCCAGAAAATCCAGATGCCCGAGTTCCTGCAACAAGGGTTCTTCAAGTTCCATTGACGCACCATTGAATTTCACGGGAGCTCCTGACACCCAGTACGGTAAAACGCATCAATTCATCAGCCAACGACCTTTAGCAAATTACCACAGCTGGTGAAAACCCCGTGTCGTGCAAATTCATGAATGTTTTCTGGGGGGCTTCCTACAGCCCCCTTACGAAAACAGAGCCTCTCGGAATAAAAATCTGAAGGCTGCTTGCCCTTTCAGCCCTCTTCCGCAGGACCTGGTGGTGGAACAGGGTACCTTATTGCACTTCCAATGGACCGGTTCGGACGCCAACAACAATGGCCACTTGGGTGACGAAAGGAAGGTCTGGCACGGATTAAGCATTTTTTCCGTGAGGGTTGCCGATGTTCGAGAGGACGCATCAGTGGGAACGCCCAAACCCCAAAAATATCTTCTTTATTCGGATTGGTCCTCCCCTTCATACTATATATATATATATATAGATAGATAGATAGATAGATAGATAGGTAGATAGATAGATAGATAGATAGATAGAGTATCTTTTTGGCAAACAGCGACGGGGCACCCACATTGTGGAATATTGCGTTTTATGTGCCAGACGGACCCCTGGTTTTTGTGGACAGAAGGGGTCAGGAAGAAAACACATATGCCTGCTTAGCCCTAAACTTACTTACGCATTTGTATCATCCCAGGTTCCATTTCACTTCCGGTTCTTCATAAGTTGGGATGCCACACTATCTTCAAGCATGAAACCAGAAGCTCCGAACCTTGTTCAGGTAATGCTGGCAATGGCCGGGCGGGGACAGATCGCTCCAACTTGGTCCAGGCAGCTTGAAAAGGGTTTGGATTCCATAGGGGTCCGGAAGTTTGAAGTTTATATGGAGATGTCTGTGTAGCGTGTATATCAAGACACAATGTCTATATTATTGATTGCTTTATCAGGCTTCCTATAAAAGTGTCGAATTATGTTCAGCGATGGTCCAGGGGTTTAGGGCATTGAAGGATCAGGGCTTCGGGCTTTGAGACTTTCAGGAATGGTATACGAGGTTTGAGCGGGCACTAACCCGAGACAGAACCATGTAATACAACTCATAACGGAGAATCGAATGAACAAGAAAGTGGAAGGTGCAATGATGCGCCATGGCAAGGCTTAGAGCTAAGTACTACGTACAAGTAGGGAAGAAGCCATAAGAAGACAAGTTATAGCAAAACATCATGGACGTCCAGGGAGTTTCTTTTTTTGATTATTTTATGTGTTTTTTGTTCGTAAAGTTTTGCATTTATGGTTTGATACGCTTGCCGTTTCAGGTTTACGAAATATTTACGAAACATTTATGTTTATGTTTATGTTTTTTGTTTTGAATGTTTTTTTTTTGTCAGTTTCGCTGCCTGGCCCTAGCCTGGCCTTGGAAAAGCATGATTTTGCGAAGGGGAATCCTATGAAAACCATGCAAGATCTATTAGCTTCCTAGGAAAATGTAGGATTGTCCTAATGGTTTCTTTGCCGAACTTCTCAGTTGGCGAAGGGATGGATGGTGACTGAGCGCGACGTGCTGGGAGTGCAGCGTTCTAGGGAACATTGTCTTTAATATTCAGTAAACTTTGTTGCCTTCCGCATCTCTGAAGAAGGGTCTACAATTAGCACGCCACACGAAATCAAATCCCTCTTCCAGACACTTTTGTCCTACAGACAAGACCGAAGGTGAGTCTGTATACAGACGCTGCGAGCTGGGTAGGCTAAACTCGCCCTTCAATGCTGAATCATAAGCCCCGAGTCCACGGCCTTGAACCCGAAACCCGAAATTTTACATGGCCTTGAACCCCCCCTTAAAGCAGAAGGACGTAAGGCCCCAAACCCAAGACCTTAAGCGGCACTACGACCAGAACCATTTTCAGGTGAAGTCCCGGTCGGAGACCGTCCCGTTGCCCATTGACCAGCACACGCTGCTGCGGCTCGTTGCAGATTTTGTGGCTCCAAGTAGGTACAAGGGGGGCAGGTGTAGACTCCTGCGAATGAGGATGAAGGAAACCCAACTGTACTGCGGAATCCCAGCCACCGTTTCCGTGCAGTTGTGAGGGTGGTTTAGTGAAGTAGTGAGTATAGAAGTATTGCTCCAGGGGTATCGTTTGAAGGAGCAGAAGCTAGCATCGACAACACAAACTTGGCAGTTTCGCGCCCACAAAGAACAAGTAACACGCAACATGTTGCTGAGCGTACCACGAACAAGGCCTTCCTGGAGGCTTTATTCCAGTTGCAGGCTCCCACAGTTGGATTTGGTGCAACCCTGTGCACACCCGAAGGATCATTTGTTAAAGGCCTTGTGAGTCCACCGACCTCGCATGTTCTAGGGGGCCCTAGCATAGACTCTCTTGTAAATTCGCAGTCATCGTAGGGTTCCAAGAGCAGTGAATGCTAGGCTAAGCCTTGAATCGTAAGCCTTTTGCTTCGCATGCATCCGACCCTATGGCCAGTCACCATAGAGAGAAGTCATGCTTCAGTAAGGTTCGACGCCAGCTCCAACCCCAATGACCCGGAAGGGCGCAGACTTGTTGACAAGTTTGCCTTCTTGGACCAGGACATGTTGTCACAGTGCAGGGAAGGGGGAAGGTGTGTGGGGGTGAGGAAGAAAATTAAGCATAGAGGAATGCTTCTCCGTTCTTGGATTTCGTCAAAGGTTTGTTTGGCTCCAGTTTTTGCAATGCTCCCCAACACCAGAAGATACTCTACGTGACACCACCGACTGAATTTCTGAACATGCATGTGGAAGGTTCATGTTGTCCGGAAAGGATGATGACAATTCTGCATAATCTTGTGGCGGGACCGAGTGAAATCCATTCGACATGGTTTTATGCTTCAAAAAATCTCCCCCCTGCATCAATGCCCCCGATAAACAAGCTTGCACCTTCGTTGACAAGATCCCACATTGGAACATTTGTTTTCAGAGATATGATCCCAGGTTTGGTGCAATTTGCATTTGAACAAACCTTGCAAAAGCTATTCGAAAGGCAGTATTCGGAACAACAGTTGCTGAGCAGGACTCCATCGTGACCTGCGACCCGGAGACGAACGATCAGAATTCGGAGACGAACTGCAAACAGCTCAACGGAGCTTCTGCCTACTTCGATGGAGGTTTGGTGGAGATGAAGCGTGT